CAGGAATTGTTGGCTCACATCATGTGATGGTCCTAGACAGCTATGATTAGTATTTCAAGGCTCTCTTCATGTTCTGATAGTCCTTTTAGTAATAAATAAACAGATATTTGAGCAACTCGTAACATTGTGTTTGGTGTTATTGAGCCACCTTATTCTAAATATGAGACAGACCAGAAACGCATTTCCTAGCGGGAAAACTGAAATATTGGCAAAACATGTCTACTAAACTAGACTTCTTAATGTTATTCCTGTAAAATTAATAAATCCTACTGTTGCTAAAGAGAAAATAATCATATTGTTTAAGAAATGGAAAACTGTTGTGCTGACTCTTCTCAGCACACTGGGTTGTATTCATAATGCACATGGGTAAAATTACACTTAAAATGTTTGTTTCTTTATTAAAGATGTTCTTTTCTCTCTTGCTTTTTTTTTTCTCAACCCATACTAATTTCATGTACTTGGTATTAATCTGAAGATATCACTGTAAATAATCCCTTTAGCACATTTTTCACCTGTGTGGGATCCATAAGCCATAAGGACATTGACCTTTTGCTGTGGCAGTTTATCCATTTCATCCTGTGCTGTTTTCTGAGCTGGTTAATGCATCTTTTTATTGCTTGAAAAAACTTCCTCCTTAAAAACCCTGCTGTTAATAGGCACAAGTGGAGCTTACTCCTCACTGGCAGTGGAGTTGGAGCTGATGGAAACACTGCCCAGGCCTGGCTGCTGGGATTTGGGGTCCTTTCATCCCTTTGCCACCCACGTGTCACTGAAATAGGATCAACCTTCATGGTCTGCTCTGCAGGGCAGAGCCAGGGCTCGGAAGGTTTGATGTGCAGAGCTCAGCTCTGCAGGACTGGATTGGCTTCAGGAGCATCCAAAGCAGTGCCAGAGCTCCATCCTGGGCAGCATTCCCTGCTTTTGATACCATCCTGCTTTGTCAAGTCCTCTGGGCCAAATCTACGAATTGTCTTGCTCTGTGTTGTGGGGATCTGTAGCAGGCACAATTCAAGTAACACTCAAATATTTAGTTTCTCATTTTCAGAGCGACTCAAGGGTTTTTACTTCATCAGTTGGATTTGTCAGGGAGAAATGGGTGGATGAAATGTGAAGGTCACATTGCTGCAGGGACCACTCATCCCTGCTCTTCCTCTGCCATCAGGAGCTGGAGGAGCCTGGGAATCTGCCTGTGCCATCTGTGGCATGGCCAGAGGCAGCAGGTCATGCCAGACCTAATCCTGGCTCAGCATTTGCTGCTGGTTCTGCTCAGAGAGCAGGGCAGCCCCTGGGCAGCTCAACACAGGGAGCAGAGATGCCTCAAAGCCATCTTTGTGCCCTGCTGCCTCTGCCCTGCCCTGCCCCGCACCTCTCTGAGCTGCAACACAGTGTCAAAGTCAGGGAGTGAATGAAAGCATGAACTGCATTCCCTCACTCAGAAATCTGACAGCTCCCTCTGATCTTCTGGAAAAATCGAAAGAGCAAAGCCACTGCACTTGTGGCACATCAGAACAATAAAATGCCTTGGCAGAGCAGAAAGCAGCACTGGGTGTCCAGACACACAGACACTTTGTCCACACCCACAGAGGAAAAGGATTGTATTTTAATTTCTCATCTTTAAAAATCCCAGTAGATTTAAAAGACCAGGGCACCTGCCTTTGATTCAGGCCACAAGGTTTCTAGGACAGTTGTCATAAATTCCAGTTTGTAAGGTTGCAGATTTTTTTCCCTTGAAAAACCAAGCAGCAGGTTGAGTTTTCAGCACAGAATGGGAGACAGGTTTTCTCATTAAGACATACATGGTTTCAGCAATCCCTTTGTGAAATAGGTTGGTTTCTAAACTTAAGTATCTTGCTGCAGCCAGAGCCATTTACCTGAGCCAGGGAAGCAAGAGCTGGCTGTGCCTGTTGCACAGGAGGAATGATGGTGCTTTCCTTCCAACAGGAACACCTGGGGCAGAGACACCCAAGTTGTTTTTCTGCCTTCATGGTACAGAGGAAACTTGAGCAATATGCTGGATAACCTTCAGCAAGTGTTTCGTGTTGTCAGGAGCTGAGATCACCTTCCTGTGGGAATTGGTGTCACTGACTGCAGTGTTGGATTTGTGGTGAACTGTGGATATTTATGGTCAGCTGAGTTCCTTCAGGAGAACAGTGGAAGGTTCCCTGATTATGGAAGTGGGGTTGGAATGAGATGATCTTTGAGGTTCCTTCCAACCCAAACCATTCCATGATCCTCTGACCCCCAGTAGCTCACTGGGGAAAGCCTGGAGTGACCCCCTGAGCAGTGTCTGAGCTGAAGCTGCAGTGGGCACTGAAATCAGCTCTGCTCCTGCTCTGCCTTTTTGATGGGAGCAATGGTTTTGGGGAGTGGTTTTGGGGAGCAGTGAATCCTTACTGCTTCAACTAGACCTGAAACAAGAGCTGCTACAAACTACATGGCTCTAATAAACCCAATACACCCAGTGCTACAGATCAGGTTATTAATACTATATCCTGTATTTTTTCCCACATGTTTTCCTACACTTTCCACTGAAAATGTTTTAGATATAAATTCTTTCCTCCAACCTGTGAGCTCTATTTGCTCTTCTTCTGTTTAATAACTTCAGCCCCACAGACCTTCTCTCCAGGAAATGCCATTAAGATTTTCTTTTAGCAAAACTGAGTAGCCCTTCAGAAATCCTTTATCAGCTCTGGTCTTTCCTGGTTTGTTTTTTTTTTTTTCTTTTTTTTTCCCATGGATAGCTGTAATTTAAAGCTTACTAGATCAATAAGTCCAAGATGCACAGCATAAATGGGAGAAGCAGACAAACAGCTGGTAAAGATAGGAGACAGCTGATTAGAATGAATTCAGGCTATAAAGCACTTGAGTTACTCTTCTCTGCTGTGATTTTGGAGATAAATTAAAAAATAGGAGAAGGGGGACATACAAATAAAAATTCCCTCCTCCCTTAGAATCTCTGATTAAAATAATGTTGAATTCTTTCTTTTTTTTCTTCCCATGTCTCTAAACAAAAGGGAGATTTTTTTTTTTAATTTGGAGGAGAGGTTTTAATCAATTACAAGGGAATTGGCTTAATATAGAGATAACTGGGGGAAATGTAATGGCAGGAAGTCCAGACCTGATGGAATAACAGCATCTTGTCTTGAACTCTCTGAATCCAGGGCTGTGATGAACTGAAATCCTGCAAATGGCCTGTTTTGCACTGATTCCCAGCATAAGGATTTTCCCACTCCCCTTTGCAGCCCTGGTGATTGTGTGTGGGACTGGGATTGGGTTTGCTCTGTTTTCCAGCCCAGGCATGTCTTGCAAGGCTTGGCCCAGGCTGCCACAGCTTTGTTGGGCTGTGCCCAGCTGGCACAGGCTGTGGATCAGGCAATTTGCATTTGGCATTACAAATTGCAGGCACATTACTTTGTGGAGGTAAAGGCCCTCTGAAAGGCTGAGTGTGTTGCCAGCAGGAGAGCAAACATGTCTAAGCTAAACCTTCAATAGAAGTCAAGAAGGATTAAGGTGCAGCTGAAAATAGAATCGAGGTTCCTAAATCACTGCAGAGCTTTAGAAAATGGTTTCTGTTCACATCACAAACCATAATTTATCGACAAAGGGGTTGAAATTTAAAATATATGTGCTGGTGAATTGTGTCTCAGTGAAATTGCAAACTGCTGTTGAGGGGGAGGTTCATGTAAATGTTCTTGGTGTGCCCCTGACCACAGAAACTATCTGAAAGACTAAAGCACGTACAGTGTAAAATACACTTGCATCTGTGTGTGGGCTGAATCTGTCTATATGTACCCCAAAAGAGCAAGGGGATGTTCCAATGTGAATTTAAAACACTGTGGGAAAGGAGGTGCATGTTCACATGTGCACTTTGGAAGAAGGATTGAGTCTGTCCGTAGGGAAATAAGTCTGTCTGCAACTGGTGAGATCAGACCAGATAAAGAGATTATCAGGTAGTGACAAGGAAGAAAATAGGTTAGCTGGATTCCTCTTTATCACTTCTTTTCCCTTAAGACATCTCACTGAATATCTTGTCATTCATACAGAGAGGCTGGAAAGAAAATCACTTTTAAAGGTGACCCACAAAGGTAAAAACAGACCAAAATTTCCTTGTGTGCTCCTCTTTCTCCTTGTTGACGTAGGAGTTGGCCTGGAATTTATACTGTGTGCGTGTTCTCTCTTTTGAGAGAGCAGGAGAAGTGGTTTTGGAGCTCCCCCGTCTTCCCCTTGGCTTTCTTGCTTCCAGCACATAGAGAACCTCCTGTGACCCACCTGTGGGTGGGAATATCGAGGTGCCAGGTCAACAGCAGAGGTGTGTCATGCCCAGCTGTTAGAGAGGTTGATATAGAAATACAGCTCTTGACCAACGTGTTGAAAACAGGTGGAATATATTGTAATAAACCAGATCTGTTTCCCCTTGAATACACTTTCCTTTCATGAGCCTTTTTTGGTTTTTTTTTGATTTGAAAGGGAAGTAACTATTGAAAATCATTTTGAAATGTGTTTCATAATAGTGGAACTACAGGAGAGCAATAATGTAAGTGGTGGTTGATAAGGTTTATTGTTTCTGGTTTTGTGTTATCTCTTGATTCCAAAGAAAGCTGAACCTTATCTTTTGGTGTTATATAAACACTTAACAGGTTTTAGAAAGCTTGTAATGGGAGTAGACAAGAAAGGCAAAGAAGCAGAGGGGAAATGGAGGTGCAGAGAAGTGACTCCTTCCAAGGTCACAAACCAGATTTAGAACAAGAATCAGATTTTCTCACTTCAGCCCATTTTTTTTCTATTCCATGGGGTATGTTGCTTCTGTTATTCAAATATGGAAAAGCCTGTCCTTTTCCAGTTAAATGAAGGGCAAGGAGAATGAGATCAGTCATAAACTCAGTGACACAGAGGGGAAAAAAAAATAAAGCAAAGAAATTGTGCTGATAAAGATACTGGTTTAGATAAATTCAACACATGACATTCCATTTATCAAATCCCAAATTTGTCTTTCTCTCTAGATGCAGTAAAGTGGGGACAACCCCTCAGATGTAAAACTACAAACTGACCATGCATTGATGAAGAAGCAGCTGCATGTACTGGTTAGAAATGCATGTTTTTTTCTTTGAAATTAAATATTTGTGGTTTGGATGCAGATTTTATTTACCTCCATTTCTGATTCATAACAGTTAAAGTCATTGTAACCATTTTGGACCCCTTTGTGACCATTTTTGTCTTTAATATTCCTTCTATAAAAGCCTAAACACGTGTGTGTGTGTGTGGTGTGTACATCTGTTTGTGCATGTAAGTGTGTTCTGGAGTAATTCCACGTGATTTTAATTCCCTGAAGAATGCAGACATGATTTCAAAGCCTGAAAGCTCTCTGAGGTCAGATGGAGCTTGTTTGTCTTCTCTTTCCAAGTCAGGCAGTCACTTGTTATTGTGTGTGTAGCTGAGCCCCAAGTCAGGCTTTATCCTGTTGTAGCAACTCATGGTGAGGAAATTGTAATTTTACAGTTTAAAACCCCCTCAGTTCTAGATAAAAAGGTGCTGTAATTATTTTATTCTGATCATTTCAAGGTCAGCCTCCCATTCTGCTCCCCAGCAGCTGTTGGTGGTGGTTTATGGGGACAGTGAGTTACCTCAAACATTGGAGAACTGGATCCACAGTGGGAGATGGACCTTGGATTTCTTTAAAATTGGGCCTGTGGAAGAGAAATAGCGGAAGAGCAGGGCCTTAGTGGTGGCTTTGCCAACAACTGTTCAGCAGGGAAAAAAGGGTTTGGAACCCTGGAGTTATTTATGGCTTGGACTTCCCTAGGACAGTTTGTTACCAGGGTATTTTAGTGCCTGAGGACCCTTCCTGGAGTGAGATGTGCTTGGAGGAAATAATCACACTGGCAAGGGATTTCTAGCTGTTAATTTATTTATTTTTAAATCCTATTCAAAAAAAAAAAAACAACCTCCTATAATTCTGTGTTCTGTTTCTGTTTGTGGCTGGTGAAAAGGGAGTCTGTGCTACCAATATATTCATTTCCCATTAACTTTTATAATAGGAGCTCTAAGGCCAAAGATTTGCCCATAATGGGAATTATTTGCACCATAACTTTCTTCTGAGCTACCATTTATTAGGATTTTCTGTATTCTGCTCGTGGCCTTGGCTGCTGCAGAGAGCAGGGCTGAGAACATCTCGTGCATCTGCTGCTGAATTTCATTTTGTGAACTTTTGTGGTCTGTAAAATTCAGAAAGATAAAGTTATTGATAAAACATAGTCTCTGAATAGTTCTCTAACTTTTTTATTATTTTTATTTTTTTATTATTCCCACTCATAAATTGATTATTTCCTTATAGCCAGTGATTGTTTCAAGTAGGAAATAATTCACTAGTTTCTGATAAACCCCAGCTAATCAGACAGTGGGATTCAGCTGCTGTGTGATTCCAGATCTCCATAAAATCTGGTTATATTTTCATTTATCTCTTTATAGGGGCAGCTCTGCCCTGAAAAGCTCACTTTCTTGTCAGTTTGTAAGTCAGCTTATAAACTTTCCCTCTTTCAAGCCCAGCCATCTGGAAAGGTCACCATGGCTATTTTTTAGGTATGTGGGAGAGAGGAGAATAAAGACTTACTCTGCTTTTTCTAGGGGACAGTCTGTCTTGTTTCTTCTTAAAGACCCCCAAAACCTTCTCATATATCCCCCAAAAACCTTCTCCTGCTTTTTATCCCCCTAAACCTCCTCCTGTGATCTCTGTGAGAGCATCCCGTGGTCTGAACCGTTCCATTCCAAGGGGGAAATCCTGGAAATGTCGGGATAACAAAGTGCAGACTTGAGCAGCTTCCTATAGAGAATCACAGGATCATTTAGGTTGGAAAAGACCTTTAAGGTCACCAAATCCAGCTGTTCCCCAGCACTGCCAAGGCCACCACCACTAACCCCTGTCCCCAGGTGCCACATCCACGGGGTTTTTAAACACCCTCAGCTTCTCCCTTGGCAGGAAAGGTCCCCAAAGCCTTCCCAGCCAGGTGGGTGTGCTCGGGGGTCCTGACAGCAGTGGGGATGTTTGGAAATGGGCTGTTTTCCTCTCGTTGGTTCCCAACTTTAAGCACATCCAGTTTTCTACTTAATGCGCCGTTTCCTCCCCGAGTGAACCAGTTTCTCGGGGCAGGGCTCAGCCCCGTGACCTCTTTGCCCTGCAGTGACCAGAGAATGAACCCAAAGCCATTCAGATGGGGCTTGAGACTCGAGTTAATCTGTGTTCCAGTGTCTGCCCCACAAAGAACTGCATTTACTTACACAGGGCCTTTTTATTTGAATGCCTTTCTCCTCTTTGTCAGAGAGAGGAATCGTAATTAAGATTTCTATTGTGTGATGAAGTTCCTAAATTTAGAGTTCATGAGTCTTATTACCTTTTAAAAAGATGTTTGGCGGCGTGAAAGTTAGTAATCATTTCTTTTCATTTAAAATTCAGAGCATGATATGGGAGGCTGTATTTATGAGCAGGGTACATCATCATGTCATTTTCTACGTGCTTAAAAGCTAAATAAGTGGTTAAGGAAGCTCCCATCCTGAGGAGAAGAAAGGGCTCATTAAAAACATTAGCTCATATAGAACAAATTGAACTTCAGTGCCCTGCATAAAGATTATAATAACTGTAATAATAAATGAATTAATAATGCATTAAAGGAGAATTCCTCCAGTCAGCTTGTCACATGCTTATCCTTGAAAATTGACTTCACTGAGGTGTGTCACATGAGCTAATGCCCTTAACTGATGGATTTGGGATTTTTCCATACTCCAAAATCCACTTAAATCTGTATTTCTGTATTTTTGACAGTAAGTTTTCTGGATAGACACGAAGTAAGTAGGGCCATTTGGTGTTGCAAGCCAGGGGGGAGCTCTTTGCTGAACCAAAGTGATCTCTAGTTTTCACCTCAGGTAATCAGAGTTGGTAAATCCTGACTACTAAGAAGGGAAATCTGAGATGGCAATCGAGTGTTGGAGGCTGCACGTCTTGGGCTGATGGAGGATCCAAAATTTGTATGGCCCCTAGCATACACTTCTATGGGCCCAAACTGACAGAGAGGAGGTTTAGGTTGGATTTTAAGAAATCCTTCTCTGTGAGGGTGGGGAGGCTCTGGCACAGGTTGCCCACAGAAGCTGTGGCTGCCCCATCCCTGGAAGTGTCCAAAGCCAGGTTGGACGGGGCTTGGAGCAACCTGGGCTAGTGGAAGGTGTCCCTGCCCATGGCAGGGGTGGCACTGGATGGGCTTTAAGGTCCCTTCCAACCCAAACCATTCTGGGATTGCATCTGGAGAGCTTCCATAAAACTGGAGGTTTTGCTCCCACTCAGTTGTGGGTTATAAATATTGTGAGATTATCAGGATTTAGGAATAAATTATCAAGTGTAGCAGCAAAATACATCCACAGGGTGTTAGTTGAGGAAGTGTAGGTGCTAAGACATATCTTCAGCAGAAAAGTGAGGATTTGGGGATTTCTGCTGTCTCCCCTGGGTAAGGGTTGAGCATTCTAATGGTTATTGCACTGGGGAAAAGTTGCATTAAGGGAATTGGTTTTCCAGACATCATAAACCCAAGCTGGTCATAAACTGCATCTTCAGGCACCTGGGTACCTTTAAAATGAATCCATAAGTCAGTTCTGAAAACCAAAACAGCTCCCCTAAACCCAGGCACTACTGAAGGTGGAGTTTACATGAGGCGTGAGGTGGTTAATTTTTAGAATCTTAAAATAATTGATGCTGGAAGGGACCTGGAGAGGTTGTTTGAATACCTCAATTCAAAAAGGAATCTGGGTGTTCCAATTAGAGATTGTAAGAACACTTACCCTGTTCCTACAGAATCTCAGAGTGGTTTGGTTTGGAAGGGACCTCCCAGACTGTCTCATTCCAACCCCCTGCCATGGGCAGGGACACCTTCCACCAGACCAGGTCGCTCCATATATGATTATTTATCCCTCTGATGCTTCTGTGTGACCCCATTTACTCTTGCAAACAGATATTTGTAGGTGTTGATTTGAATGTGCAAACCCTGAGCTTTGCCTGTGTAAGATATGAAAGCAAATTCCTTCTGGGATGCCTTTTTCTTTTTTTTTTTTTTTTTTTTTTTTTTTTTGAGAATAATTGAAAATTCATATCTAGTGTTTGGTTGTTTTTATTGGTTTTTCTTTAATAAAAATCTCATTCAGCATAAAAAGGATGACATCAATGGGTTTCTTATCAGTGCTTTGCATCATGGTAATACCAGAGCCAACAGTAAATTGTATGGGTATTATAACAGAACAAAGGAAATTAGGCAGGGATTTTATTTGAGAAGATCTGGAATTTGCTTGTCAAGTCATGCAATATGTGCTGTGCTTTATTGGCTGGCTGGTGTGAGACCAGCTGAACAGTTGCTGGAGTTTGCACAGGGATTCTTTTCTTTCCCACTTTATTGGTTTACTTTGGCACATTATTTGAGACATGCCAGAAAAATAGTAAGATATCAAAAAAAAAGTGATGCATTAATGCAGGGAATTGTTCCAACTTGGAATGTTGCCTTTGCATCACCTGAAGTGGTCACTTGCTGAAAGCCCAACCCTGTTTTTCAGCCTTCCAAGCAATAAAAGGCCCAGCAGTGCTGTTGGATTTTGGAACAGAGCAGGTACCTGGGAGGGAGCTGCTAAAATAGTGACAGAGCCTGGGGCTGGCAGTGGATAACAAGGGAAATAAAGCTCTACCTGCTGGGCTGGATCTGCTCCTCAAACCCTCTGGGACTTCTGGGCTGGCTGTGCCAGGGCCAGCAGAAAGGCCTAAATGTTAAGCTGGTTCTTAAATTTCCAGTAACAAGACTGGGTTCATTAGCACCCCCATCAAATGGCTTTCAGTTGCTATCACTCTGACTTGTATTTGAATTGATGACCTTGAGATAAAAGGCTTTTTATTCTATTACCCATCTCCTGAACCATCAAGCCTTTAATACACCGTGCAAAATCGGTTTTCAGATGGTATTTCTTTTATATAATATTGTCATTTGTTATTAAGGATGTCTGATTTTGGGTGCTACCAGCTATAATTGTGCATAATAGTACTTTTGTTATTCCTATTATT